CAAAGGTCCGTATAGTGAAAGCCATGGTTTTCCCAGTAGTGATGTGTGGAAGTGAGAGCTGGACCATAAAGAAGGCTGATTGCCGAAGAATGGATGCTTTTGAATTCTGGTGCTGGAGGAGACTCTGGAGAGTCCCATGGACTGCAAGAAGATCAAACCTCTCCATTCTGAAGGAAATCAGCCCTGAGTGCTCACTGGAAGGACAGATCCTGAAGCTGAGGCTCCAAGACTTTGGCCACATCATGAGAAGAGAAGACTCCCTGGAAAAGACCCTGATGGTGGGACAGTGTTCTCAAAGCTACCAGCATGAGTTTGACCAAACTGCGGGAGGCAGTGGAAGACAGGAGTGCCTGGCGTGCTCTGGTCCAGGGGGTCACAAAGAGTCGGACACGACTAAACAACAACAACAACCTGTTAAAAACCATCCCATAAGGGCAAGGAGGAAAAGAAGCGGAAGGAGAGCAGAGCAGCCGCTGGGGGGCAGTGGGAGAGGCAAGAGGAGGCCCCTCAAAGACTAGATGGCTCCACTGCCAGGAGTAGGAAGGGAGCTGTGGCAAGATGTGGGCATAAAGGAAGAGAGGATGGTGAAGTGATGAAAAAACCTGTAGGCAATGCAAATTTATTCAGAGTGGTCCAGCTGGGAGCAAGAATGGGAGAGCTGCCAAATCATCTCGCGATAACAGGTGAGTGGGCAGGAAAATGGCGGATGGGATGCAATTTGGATAAGTGCAGTGAGGTGGCACCTTAGGAGGAAATTGCCCCGACTCTCCAGAGGGAAGCCTGGGCTTTGGGTCAGCTCCTGCAGCTTGGGACAGGCAAAGTCGCTCCCCAAAACCCCACAGCAATGGGGCAGCTCCCTGTGGCAGACAAGGATTGGGGTGGCATCAAGGGACTGCCTCCCTTTCCAAAAGAGCAGCCCCGCTCCTCTTGCTAATTATGCTGTTTTAAATGATCATTTTATATCTGGCTTCCTTTACTAAAGTTTTCTATCAAAATAATGGTTTGGATTTTTTTTATTAACTTCGCTGCGTTCAATGTTTATTCTGTAGTTCACCACCTTTGTAATGTTTTCTTTTGAAATCTTTTAATATTTTAGTTTCACGCTAATTATGTTGCTTTGAACGTATAATTTATATTTGACTTTTGTCAGTAATGTTTTGCTCTGGATTGTTTGATTTGATGTTTTGATGTGTGGTAAACTGCATTTAAATGTTTTTCTTGAAAATATACCGGTCAGTTGAGTCTCTTCAGGTTACCCTATTGATGGTTTGTACATTATGTTAACCAAACCAGTAATATCCATTTGTACAATCATCCAGCCATGGTTTGGAGGATCAGGAAGGTGTTGCTTTCTCCCCCTTTTGTTACTAGATGCCCTACTCCACTTTTGCGTTGTGATTGTCTGTTTCCCATGCCTTTCCACATCAGGAAACTATGGTTAGTGCTACCTCCAAACCATTGGTTCACATGGGACTGAAGAAGTGTGAGAAGTTACGTGATTTGAATGACTATCTGAAGTGAGCTGGTGAAAATGGGGTCCCTCTGTGCCTCAGCACACCCTACTAGCTTTGCGTCTACACACAGAAAAATTACATGTGTTGTGTCCATCAGAATTCAATCTGTATTAAAGTCCAATGCAAGTAATTTTTGTTTAGGCTCATCAAAGCCCCTTCCTAAATAAATCTACTGTATAATTTTTGTTTTTAAAACTATCGTAAAAGCTTTACGATCCTAATTCATCTTCTCTGCACAGCAGATGATCTTTGTTATTTGTTTTACAGCTAGAAATGCCATCTGATCTCAGTCCTAAGGGCAAAAGGACTTCTAGGAATTCAAATTTGGCACTGGCGCCCAGTGAAGCAATTCTGGTAGAATGGAAGTGGGGGAAGGAGCATAATTTATGGGAGTTCTGGCAGTGAAAACATCAAGTGAATGGAAGCACAAGTGCCCACTGGAGGAGTGTATTGATAAAAAAAATATATTAATTGTGATTAATGTGTTTTATGGGACTTTCTGGAAGAGACCAGGGAAATTGCATCTGAGGCTATAAAGCCTTCAGTGTTCCAGTTCTTGGCCTGTTGCCCAAAGCCTTATGCTTGCTGGATGCAATTTCTCCATTACTTTGCTATCTTGCTGTGCAAAATTTCTCTGTCTCTGATTCATTAAAGAGAGTGTGTGAGGCCCCATTAGGGAAGGGGAGACAACTGAAAAAGGAAGAGAAGCAGAGATGCTTTTTGGTTAAGCTGTCACAACGTTGTCAATTTATATACTTCCCTTCACTTTGCAGCATGGTTAAAAAAAGGGATAGAACACCATACAGTATAAACAAAGAGCAGCATTTAAAAGAGGGGTGCTCAGCTCTCCCCAGATGCTGTTGGCCTCAGCTCAAGACAGGAGCTGCACAGAACTTTACACCTTGCCTGGGGCTTGGAAACAACACTATTTGAACTTCGCCTCTGTGCAGTATGCCTCTGAATGCTTAGCTGCTGGGAATCACAGGTGGGCAGAGGGCTCAAAGGGGAGGTCCAAAAAATATCTACATGGTGCCTAGGGAACAACTTGCACGTTAATATCAGCAAGACAAAGGAGATGGTGTTGGACTTTCGGAGGAAGAGAGAACTAGCCCCGCTGTACATCGGGGAGGACTGTGTGGAGAGTCTCTTCCTTTAAATTCCTAGGAGTTTATCTCAGTGAAGACCTTAAAGGTCTTCCCTGACCATTAGGTCCAGTCGTGGCCGACTCTGGGGTTGCGGCGCTCATCTCGTTTTATTGGCCGAGGGAGCCGGCGTACAGCTTCCGGGTCATGTAGCCAGCATGACTAAGCCGCTTCTGGTGAACTAGAGCAGCGCACAGAAATGCCGTTTACCTTCCCAGCAAAGCAGTACCTATTTATCTACTTGCACTTTGACGTGCTTTCGAACTGCTAGGTTGGCAGGAGCAGGGACCGAGCAACGGGAGCTCACTCCGTCGCGGGGATTCGAACCGCCGACCTTCTGATCGGCAAGTCCTAGGCTCTGTGGTTTAACCCACAGTGCCACCCGCGTCCCTGTGAAGACCTTACTTGGAAAATAAATACAACCCAGGTGGTTAAGAAAGCCCAACAGAGACTCCATCTCTTCAGAGTATTGCGTTCCTGTACAGAAATGCCTACATATGAGGTGTTCAAGGAGGGAAGCTTTGGTTCTCTGCAAAGTTTACACTCACCACTTCCTGGCCAAGGGGTCAGGCTGCCTTTCTGCCACAGCTAACAAATTTACACTTGAATGAAGTAAGGTGGTGTGCTGCCCTTTACAGGATGACATTCTAAGAACTACACTCAAATAGTAGGTGGTCAACTGACACTATTTAACAGGTGAATTGCCCCATGTGCCAATCTTAAGTCAACACTGCCCAAACTGCTGCCCTAAACTGCTGACTTGCAAGTAACAGAAATCAATATCACTTCATACCATTTAGAATTTGATCATCTGTCTGGAAAAAATCAAATTGTTCGAGGCAATTATTATTATTACTACTACTAAATGCAATGGAAGAAAAACAGTTCTTGGGCAGTCAGATAAAATCTTCAACTGTGCAAAGAAGCTCTTGGTTAATCCACTCTGCATAAGAATCTGTTGCTTTTAAAAACAGATGCTTGGAAGTGTGCACAGCTTGTGTGGAAAGAGAGAGCCCATGACCTCACTTGTAAGCTGGGTCCTTCTGCCGATGGCATAAGCCTAATCAGCTCCATGGCAGGGAGATTCTATGTTTGGAGATCCCTAAATTGAAGAGTGAAAGGCAGCCATCTGGGCCAACAACTTCCTTTTTTCTAAAAGGAGAAAACATCAGCACATGGTTTCACCAGGCGGATGTTAACCATAGCCAAAGCTAGAAGGAATGTTTCAAGTCATAAAAACACTCAAGAGAAAGATTAATGTTTTATTATGAAAATGAAAATCACAAAGTTATCCCCTGTACATTAGTTAATTTTTTAAAAAAGTAAAACATGGCTTCTGATATTGTGCATAGCACACAAATACCCCAGATGTCCTCCATTCTGAGCCAGCCCCATAAATGGAGTTTACAGTGGTACCTCTGGTTACGAGCTTAATTTGTTCTGGAGATCCGTTCTTAACCTGAAGCACCACTTTAGCTAATGGGGCCTCCTGCTGATGCCGCGTGATTTCTGTTCTCATCCTGAGATAAAGTTCTTAACCCGAGGTACTACTTCCGGGTTAGCGGAGTCTGTAACCCGAGGTACCATTGTACACAAATGCTGGTGAGGCTGCACCCCACGGATGAATTGCCTCCTCATGGCACGGTGTAGCTGCACCCCTGCAAATTCCATATGGTCAACATCATTAATAGCACAGCCCTATGAGTATCCACACTGAGTTCACTGGGACTTACTTCCAGATAATGGTGCACAGCATTACATCAACCTCGGCCCTCCAGATGTTTTTGGCCTACAACTCCCATGATCCCTAGCTAGCAGGACCAGTGGTCAGGGATGATGGGAATTGTAGTCTCAAAACATCTGGAGGGCCGAGGTTGAGGAAGCCTGGTGTACAGGACTGCCACCTTAAAAATATTTCATAAGCTGCATTTAAAACCAGAGGTTGGCATTTCCTCCCACAAAGAGGCAAGATATATTGAAGGTATAGCACAGAGAATTCTCATGGCCATTAGGAAGCCTCCAGATACGAATGTTGATGCTTCAGGGCTGGCTAAGAGACAATGGGCTTTATATATAAATATATGAACTGCAGAGTAACTTCGCATACATGATAAAGAGTTTACAAAACTATGAATAGTGTGAAGAGCTAAAAGGGAGATTCCCCTTACCTCTCATAATACTGGAAACCCAGGTTCGTCTAACAAAACAGACCTAACCACCTACTGCCGGGCAGACAAAAAAAGTAAGTTTTGTCACAGGACATAATTGAATCTCTGGAACTTCCTTTGATAATATGTGGAGCTATCCATGGGTTTATCAGGCAGTAAAACAGCTTTTTTTCAGATTCTTGGAGGTGAAATCTACAAACGGCCATTAGCCATAACAGCTAATCAGAACTTGCATATGGCAATATAACTTGATATACAAGATGGAGGTGAGCTGGTGAGGAGAACTGCTGCCTTCAGGCCCTTCCATAGTCTTCTGGATGGTTGCTGTTGGGAACCAAAGGTTGGTTTAAGGTGGACCTTTGCCTGATCCATCAAGGAAATTGCTATATTCTTATGCTTATTGACGAATTGCAGAAGAGTAACTGTTTGTTCTTGCTGCTCCAGACGGAAATATTGTAGCACTTACTGATCTTTGGAATCAAAATACTGTATTCTTTCAGAAGCTCAAGCAGAAGGGAGGATCCCACCTAACAGATGAAGTCAGAGATCATCTCCATGTGCTGTCAAAGCCTCAGCCTTCCTTGGGTTTTTTTTGTTCTTCATAAACATTCCTGGACAATCTATTGAGAGTCTTTTTTTTCATTTGATCATCACCATCATTATCATCCATATTACAGGTAGCTTTGGAACACATGGTTTCACTGCAGAATCTACCAAAACACAGGAACTGCATTTCTCTCCCAAGCCTAGTGCTTCTCTATACCTTTTAAGACGGAACTTTTAAACAAACTTCTTCAGTACTTCATAAAGGTGAGCAAAGACGTTTCCAGCAAATACAATGCTGGTTTTCAGATTTGTAGCTTGCCAGTGATAATTCGCTATCAATAAAGTAAGTGATGCAAGGTAGTGATTGAATTAATAAACTTGCAAAGTTGCTGCTTATAAAAGTGTTTACTGGTCAGCTGAAACTGTTAGCATTTATGAACCAGAGTCTTTTCAGAAGATGGCAGAGGAAGACAGAAAAGAGACTGGAGGCAATGCTGCTACCACAAGCAACCAAACCTAGGAAAAGGTCATTTGCAATTCAATCCTGCTGTTGCAAGATTGCTTCATCAACACCTAAAAGGAAGATACAGAGGCTAACAATGCTGTCTGTGCAATTTGAGCCCAATAAAGCAAATAGAAAGCTCCAGAAAGTTATCTCCCCCAGCACAACATATTCTGTCTTAATATAGAGTGCAGATGGATAGTTCAGGCTTGCAGTCAGCAGCCAGGACAATTTGTCAACTGATGTTCAGAATGCACAGGAGCAGATAATTATCAGATGGAAAGATGCTGCGCTGTCACCACAGAAAGTTACTACTGATGTGATGAGGAAACATAACATGAACTAGGTAACCTGACAGTTTGCAGATCTCCTGCCTGAGGATTTTTCTGTGGGAAAACTCTACAGGTAAATTAGTGAGCATAGTTCAGATGTACATTGAGAAAGCTGAATCATGATTTCAGAGCAATTATGCAGAGAAAAGTGCATAAAACCTTTAAAACAAAAAAAATCAAGATCCACTATCTGTTGGCTCCTCTTTTCAAGAGACTCAAAGTAAATATCTGAAATTCAAAGTGGACCAAGTGGTTATTCCTTTCAGAGACTTTTCAAAGGTCACAGCTTCTAAACATAAAAAGGATGCTCAAAGACTGAGTGTACAAGAGTTGGAAGGAATCTTGGAGGTCTCCTAGTCCAACCCCTGCCAAGCAAAAATAGTTTCAAGACGGCAGCCAGGCTGGGTTTCCAGAATAGAGAGCTCAGAAAGACATGATTGCTGACCCACCACAAGCCATTAAAATGCAATTGATGCACTGAGCTCTCAGCGAAGTTGCAAATGGGCCCAATAAAAGGTGCATAATATTTGATTTACGAATTATTATGGTGTTTCAAAAAGAGATTATTTCTTAACTTCTATTTTATACTGTGTACAGTGCTTAGACTGCCTATTTTGCAAAATACAAAACTGCTATAAAAGGCTCTTGTGTAATAGGATTAAAAAAAAAAAAAGTATCTCTATGCTACCTGGGAATTGCGTCAAACAGAGCTGGTCCACAGGGCACCAGAGTTATTAGGACTAAAACTCCTGTGAAAGTCCCATAACTTGTCACAGCTGATAGCAAAATCATTTGCTTATAGTCTCCCCACTCCCAGCAAGGGGGAATGGGAATTAAATCCATTTGGCAGCTCAGAAAACAAAAGCACACAAGGCAAATGTCAGTCGGTTGCACAACTGAGAACGTATCTGCTGGTTCCCAGTTCTTAATGTCAGAACACTTCTTGTCAGTGAACAAGCTGTCTTGAGAATACTGTGCATTAAGGAAGCACCACACCAGTCATTAATTCCAGAAGAGGTAGCAAGACAGCACAGAAAGGGGAAGAGAGGAACGGGAGTGGGTTTGCTTATTTGAACCACAACTGTGGGAGGAGGGAATGTTTCCTGGAAGTCATCCACTTCTCCTTTCAGGTCATGTTCTAGTAATATTCAAGGAATGCCATGAGGATGAACCTGTAGAATCCAGATATATCCAGTGCTTGCTTTGAGGGAGACCTTGTATTTATGAGAACTGTATGCAAGTAGTGGGTCGAAAGGCATCTCTTCCTCTAGGGGCTACAATTCGTCCCGCGACGTGGGTGGATAGTCCATGCCAAAAAAGGACGAGGGTCTCCCATGCACATCGCGTTCTCTTTTCACAAAGGCAGTAAAGGAAGAAACACAGTTTCCAATGAAGTGGTCAGACTTGCTGAGAATGTACAAATCTACCTGGGGCACTTCAGGCTGCAGGTACACCACTTTTATCTGAAAAGGGGAAAACAAGCAGAGCCCAGTGATTGAAAGTGAACAGACACAAGCAGACGTGGGGTTTGCCACAAGCTGTCTATCTACTCATTCTATCCCTCCACCTGAACTTGTTTCATCAAGCCGCACCTTTCTATAGCGCCTTCAGGTTCCCAGAGTATCTTTCAGATGGAGCCATTCTGTCTTACAGTCCTTGGTTCAAGAACCACCATGATGTCTCACCTCTGGTATGCCATGTGGAAAGTCACCTGAATGATTTCCGTAGTAGTGTTCAGCTACCTCTATATCTAATGCAACCACACCATATATTCTGAGCAAAAGAACTGTGTTGCCAAATCACTCAAAGACCCAGTAGAGCCCAAACTTTCTTCTGCCCATCCCTGCTGTAAGCCCCCCTGGTTCCTCCGTCTGAGAAGAAAGGCAAGATATGAATATTTCCAGTGCATACACCCGGAGAGAGAAAAGCAGTGAAGTTTGCACCACCAGTAACTACTCACTGCTCCAGCAGGACATTACCTTTTGTTTGAAAAGCTGCTGTATTTCCTTCGTGTAAGGTTCAGAGTCACTGGCGATGTACACAGCTTTTGCATCTGTCTTCTTCACCCAGAGTCTTAGCGCTCGTTTTATCTCTTTCAGGCCTGGCAGACACATATCCATGGTAAGGGGGGCAGCGGTGTTCCGATCATAGCCCACACACTGTGGCGACGCCATTAAATGAGACCCAGCAGTGCCATCTTTCAACATATTGCATGCATTTTTCTAAGGCGGGGGGAGGAGAAAAACAGAACATCACACACAGGTAGAAGTGGGGAGAAACAGAGCATCGTACAAAGGCAGGGGGACTTTATAGCAATGGAGAATTCCATACAGCTAGCCAAAGCAGGCAAAAAAACCACATTGCTAATGGAGGGTCGTTGCCACGGGATCACATTCATCCAGTGCTTTACCAGCTGCACTGGCTCCCGGTGGAGTACAGGGTCAGGTTTAAGGTGCTGGTTTTGACCTTTAAAGCCCTTTGCGGACTAGGACCCACGTACCTACGGGACCGCCTCTCCTGGTATGCCCTGCGGAGGACCTTAAGGTCCACAAATGACAACATTTTGGAGGTCCCAGTTCGCAAGGTGGTTAGATTGGTCTCAACTAGGGCCAGGGCCTTTTCAATACTGGCCCCAACGTTGTGGAACACTCTATCACAAGAGACTAGGGCCCTGCGGGACTTGACATCTTTCCGCAGGGCCTGCAAGACAAAGCTGTTCCATCTGGTCTTTGGTTTGGACTCGGTCTGACCCTTATGTTCCCCTCCCCTTATGGTCTTGATTTATCGGCTATTTTAAAATGAGGCTGCATTTTAAATTGCATTTTAACATGTATTTTAAATTGTTTTTCTCTCTCTCTCTCTTTCCCCCCTATTATGTTTTTACTGTGCTTTTAATGGTGTTAGCCACCCTGAGCCTGGCTCTGGCCAGGGAGTGCGGGGTATAAATAAAATGCATTATTGTTGTTGTTGTTGTTGTTGTTAGCTTCAGTTATATTCCCATCCACAAACAGTCTAGTTCAAGTATGCAAGAAGCTGTCAATAACTGCAAGTCACAATGTGTACAGCCCTTCAGGATCAGAGAAAGCATGCCTCTGAATATCACCAGCTGCTGGGGAAGAAAACAGAGAGAGGGTTGTTGTTGTTTAGTCGTTTAGTCGTGTCCGACTCTTCGTGACCCCATGGACCAGAGCACGCCAGGCACCTCTGTCCTCCACTACCTCCCGCAGTTTGGTCAAACTCATGCTGGTAACCTCGGAAACACTATCTAACCATCTCATCCTCTGTCGCCCCCTTCTCCTTGTGCCCTCCATCTTTCCCAGCATCAGTGTCTTCTCCAGGGAGTCTTCTCTTCTCATGAGGTGGCCAAAGTCTTGGAGCCTCAGCTTCAGGACCTGTCCTTCCAGTGAGCACTCAGGGCTGATTTCCTTCAGAATGGATGTGTTTGATCTTCTTGCAGTCCATGGGACTCTCAAGAGTCTCCTCCAGCTCCAGAGAGAGGGTACCTGATCTCAACTCCTGCTTATGAGCTTCCCAGAGGCAGGATGGCCCTAGGTAGGCAACAGGATGCTGAGCTAGGTAGGATTTTGTTCTGAACCAGCATATGCCCTTAACAGCTCCACCCTCTCCCTTTTTTATTCATATGGAGCTAGAAGCTGCCAGTCAGACTCTATTACAGCCCTGCCCACATTACAGTCCCCATGGAAGTATATGTAAGAACCATACCCAGTCTGAACCGACACGCAAATGGATTCCCACGTAGGGTCTGACCAGGAACGAATTAATATAGGACTCGCCTTTGTTCACCATCTCATCAGACCATACCATGTACTGATGCAGGGACCGGTACTCTTCCAGAACTGGAAACTGGGCTGGGGCCCCCGGAAGAGCCACAACAGGATGTTCAGAGGAGGGAAACCTAGAAAAAGACACAGTGGAAAGATCAACAGGAGCTACAACTTGCCATGTTTGCTCGCACCAGTGCTGCTCAGTTTTTACTGTTGAGAACTTTTAATGCAAATGCTTTTTTCTAGTTAATTTTTTTTAACACACCTACAACAAAGAGATGGATTACTAACAAGATTTATGAAGAATATGCTAACCCGAATAAAATTAATCTGTATTTTGCATTTCTGTTGTCATGCTCTTCAGCTCATAAGAACTTCCTAATTCCCCAGACACTTGCATCACCTCCCAAATATTTGCATACTGGAGCTTAGGCGGGCCTCCTTAGGGGAAAGAAGCTGCAAAGTGCACCTCCCTGTATTTTAAACTACGGCAGCAATCTCTGAAAAATCAACAGACTAAGCAAGCAGACTTTAGTTATGCATGCATGCACCTGCCTAATGCTGTCACAGACCTTTGCCCTACGCATGCCAACTGGCAGCAGTGTCTTACGGTCTCAGAGCTGGAGGTGTCTTTCCTAGTTCTACTGCCCAAGATCAAGGATTCTTCTTACAAAACACATACCACCCAAAGACCGTTATGCGACTCTTCTTCCTCATTAAAGCTCTGTGCAGTGATAGCAAATTGCAGGTTAGCTGTGGGTTGCAGGGCCAACTTTCAGATTGTATTGAGATGGCAAGGGGAGTGAGACCGGGCTGTATTCTCGCCTCCACATTGTTTAGCTTTTTGTCTAATAGGAACCATTGTCTAATAGGAACCAGAAAGACCCCTATTTTGCTATATGCCACTGCTTCTTCTCCCACCCTCAATGGAAAATGTAATGTTATTATCAAGGCATTTTTATCTGCTCAGTTTTTGTCTGTTATTATATTTTGTCTGTTTTTGTGTTTTCTTGTTGTTAAATTACCTTGGTTGCCATCCGTGCAGAAAGGCAGGATACTTGTCCTTCTTTCCTTACGGTCTGCAAATAACAACATCTTGGAGATTCCAGGCCTCAGGGAGATTAGGCTGGCCTTGGCCCTGGCCTGGTGGAACACTCTGCCACAAGAGATCAGGGCCCTGCGGGATTTGGCATCTTTCTGCCGGGCCTGCAAGACGGAGTTCCGCCAGGCCTTTGGTCAGGGCTCAGCCTGAATCCCCTTCGCTGTACTGTTTTTAACACTGATTGGGAGCCGTCCAGAGTGGCTGGGGAAACTCAGCCAGATGGGCGGGGTATAAATAATAAATTATTATTATTATTATTATTATTATTATTATTATTATTATTATTTAAGAACTAGTATGAAAGACACTCATTTCACACGCTAGCAAGGTTATGCTTAAAATTCTACAAGGCAGGCTTAAGCAGTATGTGGACCGAGAACTCCCAGAAGTGCAAGCTGGATTTAGAAGAGGCAGAGGAACCAGAGACCAAATTGCAAACATGCGCTGGATTATGGAGAAAGCTAGAGAGTTCCAGAAAGACATCTACTTCTGCTTCATTGACTATGCAAAAGCCTTTGACTGTGTTGACCACAGCAAACTATGGCAAGTTCTTAAAGAAATGGGAGTGCCTGATCACCTCATCTGTCTCCTGAGAAATCTCTATGTGGGACAAGAAGCTACAGTTAGAACTGGATATGGAACAACTGATTGGTTCAAAATTGGGAAAGGAGTACGACAAGGCTGTATATTGTCCCCCTGCTTATTTAACTTATATGCAGAATTCATCATGCGAAAGGCTGGGCTGGATGAATCCCAAGCCGGAATTAAGATCGCCGGAAGAAATATCAACAACCTCAGATATGCAGATGACACAACCTTGATGGCAGAAAGTGAGGAGGAATTAAAGAACCTTTTAATGAGGGTGAAAGAGGAGAGCGCAAAATATGGTCTGAAGCTCAACATCAAAAAAACGAAGATCATGGCCACTGGTCCCATCACCTCCTGGCAAATAGAAGGGGAAGAAATGGAGGCAGTGAGAGATTTTATTTTCTTGGGCTCCATGATCACTGCAGATGGTGACAGCAGTCACGAAATTAAAAGACGCCTGCTCCTTGGGAGAAAGGCGATGGCAAGCCTAGACAACATCTTAAAAAGTAGAGACATCACCTTACCAACAAAGGTCCGTATAGTTAAAGCCATGGTTTTCCCAGTAGTGATGTATGGAAGTGAGAGCTGGACCATAAAGAAGGCTGATCGCCGAAGAATTGATGCTTTTGAATTATGGTGCTGGAGGAGACTCTTGAGAGTCTCATGGACTGCAAGAAGATCAAACACATCCATTCTTAAGGAAATCAGACCTGAGTGCTCACTGGAAGGACAGATCGTGAAGTTGAGGCTCCAATACTTTGGCCACCTCATGAGAAGAGAAGACTCCCTGGAAAAGACCCTGATGTTGGGAAAGATGGAGGGCACAAGGAGAAGGGGACGACAGAGGATGAGATGGTTGGATAGTGTTCTCGAAGCTACAAACTTGAGCCTGACCAAACTGCGGGAGGCGGTGGAAGACAGGAGTGCCTGGCGTGCTCTGGTCCATGGGGTCACGAAGAGTCGGACACGACTAAACGACTAAACAACAACAACAAAGTATGAAAGAGGCCTCCCAGCATTCTCACAGGCCCATATAAGAACAGCGTAATCAGCTGGGCCTGATTAGCATTTACTGTTCCCAGCCATAGCTGTCAACCTTCCCCTTTTTGCGGGAAATTCCCTTATTCCAGCACCATTTCCCGCTGCTTCCGGCTGCTATCCCGGATTGTTAGATATCCTGTAGACTGTCCCCGGGACAGGTGAGGCTGCTGATCCCTTATTTTTGAGGCTGCTGATCCCTTATTTTCAAATCTGAAAGTTGACAGCAACCCTAATCCTGCGGAAAGCCATCTAATTAGATTTTAATTTGATACTGACTTGTTTTTTAGGAGGTAATTTAATTATTGTTTGATTTTATACCAATGTTATTGTTAAGATATTCCGTTCCACCTTAACAGATGTGTGGAATTGTTGTATGTCACATGTCTGTTTACACTCCAGCACAGCTTGCTGGGAACTTCCGTTGTGTGTACTGCTACTGCTTATGCTGCTTGCTTGGACATGAAAGGGAGAAGACATGTTTTTTCTTTTGTCCTGATGTACGCTGAACAAACTGCCTGTAAATATGCTTAACACAGCCTCTCCTTGTCACTTCTGTTGTGCGTTTACTCTGCTGAGTTGCGTGCCCAGCTTCTGAAGCTCTGGGTCGCAGATTCATGCTGCACCAAGGACTGGAGTTTGACCGGCACGTTGGCTGGTGGGCTGGAGCCAGCTGAGTGCTTGCCAATTGCCCCTGATTCCTTAGCTGCATCCCAAAAGTTATATGTCTGATGTTAGCCACCCTGAGCCAGGTTTCGGCTGGGGAGGGCGGGATACAAATAAAATATGATGATGATGATAATGATTTCCAAGAACCCTTTACAAGCCAGAGCAGCAATGGAGGAGTGTGCCCAGTGCCTAACCATGCCCTTCGCCCAATGCCACCCCCAAGCGACACTTGCTACCTTCGAATCCAGTGGTCCTTGTAAGAGGCACTGAAGGAGAGGCCTCCAAACAGCTCCGACCTATCGAAATCCACAGCAAACTGATCCCAAAAGGGGCCAAAGGGGTTTCCATCCTGCAAAAGCAAAGGCAGCTGCTCGTTCACTGCGGCAGACGAAAGGTGAGGCAGGCCAGAGGAACAGGCAGCTTTGCAGCTGCTACGGGAGCCGCAAGCTCCTAGCTGACACAACCCATATTCCATAGTCCTGCCCCCACTGAAACCTGTGTGTAAGTTTCCCAGAAGCTTTCCAAGTATAGAGAGGATGAAAGGAAGTTAAATACAAACGCACTGAAATGACCCACAGAACATTATCTAGAACAAGCTTCCTCGAACTCGGCCCTCCAGATGTTTTTGGCCTACAACTCCCATGGTCCCTAGCTAGCTGTTGCATAATACTGTTTTATAATTTATGATAATTTAGAATTTAAATGTATTTTCATGCAATGTTTGATACTTCCAGCTGATGAAGGTGAATATATCGAAACAGGGCCCTGTCCTGGTTTCTTATCCATAATTTCTGATCCATAATTGACTTCTGCTCAATGATTGAAACTAAGATCTTCACATCAAATCTGACTATGGACTAACATGAACTCTTATCTCTAATACTGTAACGAATTATTGTGTTATATTCTTATGAGTTTGAATTTGTAATCTCTGTTTGAGTTTGTAATCTCTATTTGAGTTTGTAATCCTTCTCAGAATACATACTTTTGAATGGATTAGGTTTTGTGACAATTGACTATTGATTCGCAAGTAGGGACCACTCCCACTATTGAAACTTATATTGGCCAGAGTTCTTGGTGTGCTTTTTTTTGTTGATTTAGAAGAACAGCAGCAGCGGAGTTTTTACTACAGCCCAGGGTTACAGAAGGCACCTCAGGGATGAGAAGGACTCCTACCTTCATGGGGCAAGTCCTTTTGTCAGCACTCCTCTGAGCTGCCGCTTCAAAGCAGTATGCGACTCGCTTGCCAGGAGGCCAGTGGATGGGTGCCAACTTTTCCATAAATTCCTCCAAAGTGATGACCCGGTGGTACTCCAGGAGAGGCGCCAGCTTGAAGTATTCTTTGTAGGGAACGTGCTGCTGCAATGCAAACAAAACAGAGTTTAGGAGCCTGTCCACACACATATTTGTTCCAGCAATAGTGAATCCACAACCGTCTGAAGGAAAAGCGAGGAGCATAACTTAAACGGCTGAATGATTTCCAAAGCCTAGTCTACCCTGGTCTGTCAGATCTGCAGGTTTGATGTACTATTGACTCCTTCACTATGCATGAAACTCCGGCTTGAAGCAGAGGCCAGGAGAGCTTTCAAGACCTCCAGTTGGCTAATTAAAGACTAGAGGGGGACCAGAGCTTAATGGTTAATATATATATATATATGTATTTTGCTTGTACAAAGTATTCAAAATGTAGATAGCACCCAACACCAGCAGAATTAACTCATCTGTTCCAAGGACCTATTCACTGAGCCTGCTTATGTGTGGCTTTGGGAAAATACGTAGCATTCCAAAAGCACAGAACCCAAATATACCTCAGAAGTTCTCAAAACTACTTACATTTGCATAGGGAGGCCTGTGATACCGGTACTCAATCCAGGGGGGGACAGCTAAGGTCCGATTCACCATTTTAGCAAACGCCAAAGAACCCAGAAAATGGTCTGCTTGGTTCCCAAATCTCCCTTGAAATAGAACATAAAGACCTGTTTCTTAGTCACCAGAGCAACAAGCCTAGGGCAACTTCATACTGAAGAACTACATGGCTGCCAAAATCAAAATGCTGCAGATCTTCCTTCATTATGTTGAATTATTCACAAAGCTTAAGCATAAGGCAAGTCGCATAAATGATAGGACTCTGGAACTATTCCCAACCCACAGAATCTTGCAGAAGTCCGCTCCCCCCATAAAAAAGCCCTAGTAATCAACGGCAACCAATAATTACTTCCAAATAACAAGAAAGGAAACTTTTACGAAAGTTTAAGAAATTTATTGCACAAAGGACTAACAGAAGAAAGTATACTTGGACAGCAAGACTTCTGACCTCTGTGGATTTATTTGGAAAGCTGTCAGAAAGCAGTATCAAGGAAGTTGGCAATGAGACGTCTCATAACCTGGAGGCAAATTATACCCATAGCGAATAATCAAGTGGCTATTTAAAGGTAAAGGTACCCCTGCCCGTACGGGCCAGTCTTGCCAGACTCTAGGGTTGTGCGCTCATCTCACTCTATAGGCCGGGAGCCAGTGCTGTCCGCAGACACTTCCGGGTCACGTGGCCAGCGTGACATCGCTGCTCTGGCGAGCCAGAGCCGCACACGGAAACACCGTTTACCTTCCCGCTAGTAAGCGGTCCCTATTTATCTACTTGCACCCGGAGGTGCTTTCGAACTGCTAGGTTGGCAGGCGCTGGGACCGAACGACAGGAGCGCACCCCGCCGCAGGGATTCGAACCGCCGACCTTTCGATCTGCAAGTCCTAGGTGCTGAGGCTTTAACCCACAGCGCCACCTGCGTCCCTAAGTGGCTATTTACAAAGCTGAAATAAAAATCACAGCTGCTGTCACTTTAATTGAAAGCTTGCTCAGGAAGCTTATAATAGTTTCAGTCTTTAAATCTCTCTCTCTCTCTCTCTCTCTCACACACACACACACACACACACACACTTTAAGTCCATTGTATTATTTTCTTGACTTTTAACATTTATCTTCCACTGCAGAGAAGAGGAACCGTTACATAGGAGTCCAACACACCGCAGGTTGATCAAGAACCACAAGCAGGTCACTCCCTAACCTATAATGCAATAGTAGCATGCAGCAACCTAACAATAACCTACAGGGCAGCAGCCCCACCAGGAACGTGCTGGTGAAGCAGCACCCAGCAGGATGGAACTCTAAGAAACGACATGTTGGTTATTGGTTTGGGATTTTTTTACACAAAGGTAAAAGGAATAGAGGAGAAATAATAATAATAATAATAATGATAATAATAATAATAATAATAATAATAATAATAATAATTATTTATACCCTGCCCATCTGGCTAAATTACTAAATACAGTAATGCATCAAACATTAAAAGCTTCCCTAAACAGGGCTGCCTTCAGATGTTTTCTAAATGTCAGGTAGTTGTTGTTCTCTTTGACATCTGAAGGGAGGGCATTCCATAGGGCAGGCGCCACCACCGAGAAGGCCCTCTGCCTGGTTCCTGTAACTTGGCTTCTCGCAGCGAGGGAACTGCCAGAAGGCCCTCGGCGCTGGATCTCAGTGTCTGGGCTGGACGATGGGGGTGGAGACGCTCATTCAGGTATACTGGACCGAGGCCACTTAGGGCTTTAAAGGTCAGCACCAACACTTTGAATTGTGCTCGGAAACGTACTGGGAGCCAGTGTAGTTCTTTCAAGACTGGTGTTATGTGGTCTTGGCAGCCGCTCCCAGTCACCAGTCTGGCTGCCACATTCTGGATTAGTTGTAGTTTCCAGGTCACAGTCAAAGGTAGCCCCACGTAGAGCGCATTGCGGTAGTCCAGATGTGAATATGAGGCCTCCAGGTATGACTGGACTTCACTGCCGATTATTTGTACTGATTTTCTGAATTACAGTATTACAAATCATTGCCAAATTAATTTAATAGTTTTCCAAAACCGGTTTCCCACTCTCCGCATGAGATGTGCCCCTATCACTGTGCTTTGTTCTCAGTTAAACTCTAGTTAACACCCTCCAGAATTTGATAAAATGATTATCCATCAGCTGCCCCTTTACATCCCTGCATGCAGCAAAACAAACAAACCCCCAAGTGAACCTTAACGTATATTCTCAGTGACAGCAAGTGTGGTTAATACTCCATCTCCACTTTAAACATTTGCTTGATTTTGAGTAAGTTCTGAAAAAACAAACAGGTACGGCTGGACTTCCACTCCCAGCAGCCAGCGCGGTCCGCCAAGAGGGATGACGGGAGTTGTAGTCCAACGGCACCTGGAAGGCCCCTCAGAGCCCCCGGCCTACAGAGCCACGGCCTGCGAGAGGAAGGAGAAAAGGGGTGGGGAGAGGATACGGTGATGCCCCGAGTGGCGCCCTGGGAGGGGAAGAATGGAGGCACCCCCCCCGCCGCCTCACCCATGCAGGGGCAGTAGAGTAAGTATCCTGACGGGTCCCAGGCGCCTTCGCCTCCGCTGCCCAGGTGGAACAGGACGAGCAGCACCTGCAGGCCCGCGACGCCGGCCGGCTCCTTCCCGGGAACAGCCATGCCTCCCTCCGTCTCTTCCTCCGGCTTGGAAGAAGCGGCTTCGGCTCGTAGAGTTTAGCGGGAGAGAAGCTGCCTCGCTAGGCCAGGCTAGGCCGCGCCCGTCTCCATGGCGACCGGCCCCTTTTCCCGGCAGGCCCCGCGGCGGCGCTCGTGAGGGCAGAGCGGCCGGGCCGAGGCGGCTTCCGGTCTGGGCCGGATGTGGCGCCGTGGAGGCCTTGAGGGGCGCGAGCGAGCCCGCGAGAGGAAAATAAAGGCGAACGAACCGCCGCCGCCTCAGTCCCCTCAGCCGCCGCCGCGGCCGCCTCCTTCTCCTCACGGAGCGGTTCCTCTTCCCCGCAGCCTCCGGTCATGGGGCCTCCGCCGCCCGCTCAGTTACCACAACAAGAGCTGGGCCCGCCTTCGTCGTCGTCTTCTTCCTCGCCTTTTCCTCCAGCCGGGACGAGCCAGCGGAGGGGACCGACTCGCGGGGTGGGGGTGAGCGAGCGGCCTTGGGGGGTTGTGTATTAGTGGCGGGGGACGGGACACGGTTTCTCGAAAGTACGCATGCGCGGGGGTGGCGTGGGGGGGGTTAATGGAGTTCGGGGCGCCAGCATAAGAAACCCCCCCTCCAATGTTAGGGACACCCTCCCTCTCCTCAGATAGGCCATAATATTCCAGTAGCGCCGTGCGCGCGTGTTTACAGAGCCACAACAACCACAAAGGTCAGTTCCCTGCCCCGAGGAGCTTCCAGACCTAAGATGGGAAACGGGCGAGCAGGAAGAGCAGGTGCAGCTCTGCTTCGTTGCAGGTGGAAGCAGGGACGGGACTGGAGGAAGGAGCCCTGGGGCTGAAGAAGGGCAGAGTGGGGGGGGGTCGTAGCTAGGAAGACACCAGCCTCTGTGCCTTTTGGAGGGAAGGGTCAGCGGTGTCGCTGCGGGTACTTGGCATGCAGGAGGCTCCAGGATCAACCTCTGGCGTGAAAAGGATCTGGTGGTAGGTCTTGGGAAAGACCTTTTCTGCCCCTAAGCTGCTGCTGCCAATCAGAGCAGACCATTTGAGACAGTAATCATGGCTTGGAATGAGGCTGACTCCCATATTCCGTTGCCAAGAGAGAAAATACACAGAGAACTCCATAGTTTCTCTCCCCTTAAAATAAACGTGAAAAACTTGGAGCTTCCCGTAGTAGAGGAGTGCATGGGATTTTAGTGCTATGAACTCTGCTTGCCCTGTTCTCCCCCTTCAATCCTCACTTCTTCCATAAAACTAGGTTAAGCACTTTCTGCACCTGTTTATTCAAAGAGGGTTAACTGAGTCTTGGATGCAGTAGAAGCAATGTACCTCAGCCACACAAACAGCATTTTAGCTGCTCAGGTCTTACTTGAGCCTTTGGCTATGTGCAGAAGGTTTTCTGTTGGTTCTGCATGCTCACTGTCCAGAGTGCTGATGGGCAGTTTCTTTTCTGCCTGGAGGGGCATGAGAGAAGAAAAGTGCTGGAGCCCTGGCTTTGTGCCCACCTCCCCTGAGAAGGTCACATGGCCTTGTCCTGATTTGACCTACTTGGATGGAAACACTTGGCCCCAGCAGAATGGCAGCCTGCCCTGTTGGCTTGCCAAATTCCCAGGCAGATGTGCAAGTACAACAATCACATTAAAAATAAATCTTGGCATCCCTCCGGCAGGTGACGCGAGTAGGGAACATCACTTGAACAAGGATCAAACAGTAAGCTTTATGAATTAAGTGAAATGGCAGGGATGAGGCTATAGTCAGAAGGTTGGGGCTTCTAAGCTGTTTCGTTTCAGTGGCCCTCCTTTTGAAGCTGGTTGGGGGGGGCATAATTTTAGTATGAGAAAGCAACTGAGAGGTGCCAGGGCATGTACAATGAAGAACTCTGACTCAACCATCTTCTGAAAATGATGTGATGTTTACATAGGACCATCACTGTTGTGGTGCTTTACAGCGTACGGTAGCCCAATCTTTCCCAAAAGGCATTTGAAATTTAACAATGTAAATGACAAAACAGAAACAAGGGCATGCTTCAGTTTCCCAGATGTAAAATGTAACCAATAATTATGTATCTAGTAGGCCAAGATGAGGACATTAAGGTGCTGTGACTTTTTTGTTCTTAACATACTTCAGAAATCTCAGAGCTGCTGTAGAAAGTGTTCATGTGGTCTTACCAGCTGAGCAGTTATCAGGTATTTCCTCCCACCTCCTTGGCTTCCATTGCTATGCGGCTGGTGCTCCCAGATCACTCGTCTCATCCCAAAAGACATTTTCCCAATAGCAATTGAAAAAGTGGCATCTGTATTTAGAAGATCAACAAAGGAATGGGGTAGAGCAGGCAAGATACTTTTGAAAGGTCACCCCCGACACTTCTGGAATTTGGATTGTAACGATGTAGTTTCCATCACCCAAGTGGGAGTATTCCAGGCCTTATAGCAGTGGGAATTTACTGGTCCTGCTCCCTCACTGCTTTGCCTGGCTAGCTATGCCTCTTGCTGGCCTGGGTAGATCATATAAAGAAGTGTGAGAGGGGGTGCGGCAACTAGCCCACTGTACAAAGGTAAAAGTTACATGAGTTTCTCTCTCCACTTTTGCCTCCTGAAGGTTGCCCAGAAGGCAAGGCGTCCCTGAGACTGGAAAAGGTTCCCACCCCTGCCCTTACATCATGCAGCTCACCTGATTAAAGCAGTGTACTAGTTCAGTGGGTAAGTGTTGGGTAAGGTAAATGCCATCTCCTTTATCAGGCATTTGCAAAAGTAAAAGGAGTGTCATACACTGAATCCAAGATAAACTGTGTCAGAAATGAAACTTCAGGATAAGCTGGACTGTGTCCTGAGCCTTTTTTTTTAAAATGCAGACAGATTTCCACTGTTGCTGCAATAATTACACACTCACATTAGCATTTAAGATTGTGGTAATAATCTCTTCTTTAAACATTGAAACTGAAAACAAGTCACAAGTGCTCTTTAAAGGTTGATGTTGACATCTAGGAATCTAAATCTTTTTCTGAACTCAGAATAGGGCTGGTGCCTAAAAGTAGATTTAAAATGTGGAGTCCTGTCCCCCCTGCTCTGTTCATGTGTCCATTCACTTCTCTTAAGCATGCAATTTGTCATTCCAGGTAGCAACCTCTTCTTGCTGAAACTTTTGAAAATTGTCAGTGGGTGTGGCTATACCAGTGAGATGCCCATGGGCAGGACTTCTGCTTCATTTGGCCCTCCTCTGCTAGGCCTGCCATGACCGCATTCTTCACCAGCGTCCCCAACTGGATTCAAGATGCAAAGCAGGAGGAGGAGGAGACGGGCTGGAAACTAGTCCCCCGCCCCAAGGGCCGAGAAAGCGAGAGCCAAGGGAAATGCCAGCACGAACCGTCAGGAGCCTCCTTCCCCAGTGTGGATAAGCTGAGAGCAAACCCAGAGCAGAGGCCGTACGGCTGCCCTCAAGTGCACTGTGGCAAGGCCTTTGCTTCCAAGTACAAGCTCTACAGGTATGTAGGGGGGAAGGGTTAGAGCAGGCATGTTCAAAGTCCGGCCCGGGGGCCTAATTTGGCTCGCCGGTCAGTTTAATCCGGCCCCTGCTGCAGTTTATCACCTTGGGCAAACTGCAAAAAGCAGCTCAACAACTTCAACCCTAAAAGGTCAAAAACTTTGGTCGGCCCTCATGCATGTTCACTTCATCAAATCTAGCCCTTTCTGAAAAAAGTTTGGACACCCCTGGGTTAGAGGGTTGGGCTAGGACGGAGCAGCCTCAGGTTCAAGCTTGGCCATGGAACAGGTTTGTTTTAGAGCAGTGTTTCCCGAGCGTAGGAAAGATAACTTACACTATGCAGCCATAGATGAAAAGTTTGGGGCTGCTGGTGAAAGGCAGCAGACCTCGCCACACAAGCCTCCATAGCATTCTCCCCCCAGGTCCCATTTATGATCTGAATGGTGTAAGATGTGCGGATGGGTGTGGCAAATGTCAAATTCTTTGCTCTCCTTCACTCCTATAACTCTTAAAACCGGGCAGAGGAGAATCTCCTTGCCCAAGCTAACCTGCCCAGCTTTTGTGGTGGGGGCGGGGGCAGGGACACAAGTAAGCTGCTTATAACCAGTGCTTCTTTCCCCCGCAAGGCACTTGGCCACCCATTCTGCCCAGAAGCCCCACCAATGCATGTACTGTGAGAAGATGTTCCACCGCAAGGACCACCTTCGCAACCACCTGCAGACACATGACCCCAACAAAGAAGCTCTCCACTGCCCAGAGTGCGGCAAGAACTACAACACCAAGCTCGGCTACCGGCGCCACCTGGCCATGCATGCTGCCGCCAGTGGCGATCTCAGCTGCAAAGTGTGCTTGCAGATGTTTGAGAGCACCCAAGTCCTGCTGGAGCACCTCAAGGCCCACTCCCGGAGGCCCTCGGGCAGCGTGAAGGAGAAGAAGCACCCGTGCGACCACTGCGACCGCCGCTTCTACACTCGCAAAGATGTGAGGAGGCACCTGGTCGTTCACACGGGCCGGAAGGACTTCCTGTGCCAGTACTGCGCGCAGCGATTTGGCCGCAAAGACCACCTGACCAGACACATGAAGAAGAGCCACTCCCAAGAACTGCTGAAGATCAAGACGGAGCCAGTGGACATGCTAGGCCTGCTCAGCTGCAGCTCAGCCGTTGCAGTGAAAGAGGAACTGAGCCCCGTCTTGTGCATGGCATCCCGGGATGTGATGAACAGTAAGAGCTTCCCTGGGATGCTGCCAATTGGCATGTATGGGGCACATGTCCCCACCATGCCCAGCTCAGGAATGCCCCATTCTTTAGTCCCCAACCCTCTGCCAATGGGAATGAGCTACCCCCTGGAGTCCTCCTCCCCACCACAACCTCCCCCAAAGTACCAGCTTGGATCTACCTCATACTTGCCTGACAAGCTCCCCAAAACAGAGGTGGACAGCTGTTTGGCAGAGCTCCCTGGAGGCCTGTCCCTGGTGCCTGGTGAGCCATCCTCGTCCTCTCCTCAGCCTATCACCCTGGAGGAGACACTGCTCTCCAAGAGCCCCGCTCTGCTTTCTGAGGCTCTCTGTGCTGCTAACATGGACTTCTCCCATCTCCTGGGCTTCCTCCCCTTGAACCTCCCGTCATGCAACCCTCCCGTGTCCTCGGCGGGTCTGGTCATGGGCTACTCACAGGGAGAGACCCAGTCACTCCTCACCACTTTGCCACCGCAAGAGGCGCCAGGAGCTGCGACCTCCCTTGGCTTCGGAGCACTTCACTCGCTGCCCTCCATCTTCTCTCCTGGCTTGGGTGCAACCACCTTGCCACGTTTTCACCAAGCGTTCCAGTGAGGCAGCCGGGGAAAGAACGGGACTTCCCTTCGGCGTGTGGATTGGGTACGGCAAAGGTGCCCGGATTTGTTTTCCTTCCTACCTGGGAAGGCTTGAGGGGAGGAGTGCCTGCGTGGACTGGAACTGCCACGCGGACTTTGATGTGCGCCTCAGTCCCAGACAGTGTGTAGGTTGCAGCAAATAGAAATTCAGGTATTTCCCCAACCTTGTTTGTTTGGTAAATCAGGCATCACACTGACCTTCCTTGGGGCTTCCGTCCTCATTCCACTTTAGGAGGTGATTGAATCGGGGGTCTGCCTCACGTTAGGGCACAACATTTCTTCTGCATTTCAGCGCCTCAGTCGAGGGTGGAAGAGCCTGTTGTCGCCCGCTGCCCTTCCCACAGCACCTCTGCTGGTTGCGCCCACACAGTGCTGAGTGCGTGCAGAGTCAACACTTCCTTTCTTCAGAGCCGCGTCATTAAGACTCATTCCAACCGAATCGTGTTTACGCACCCGTAAAAAGTCTTCCCACCCACCCCTCACCCCCACCATTGCAAATCAGGAAGCGCCAGGAACACCGTCCTTGTTTCTGGCGCAGCTCGCACACTGTTTACACAATGGAATCGGGTCTCCCTGATTTCACTTCACTACTTCCATTTCTTCCCCTGTGGGGAAAGCAAAACTGACTATGGATTGCTTTTGCCAATTTAGCTGACTGCCCTGTAGGTCATGTTCCCTTAAATCTCAGCGTGGGTCAGAAGGGTCCTGCAGCCCAAACAGCCCGGCTTGCTTTTCTGTGTTTGTGAGCACTCTTTCCCAAAGCATACGCAGGGATGGAGGGGAGTGGACCACGGCCTCACCTGTTAATGGAAGCTCGTTGCTTGAGGGCTTCTCCCCACTTCTGTGGCTTACTTAAGTTCAGCACTGAGGTCTGCCACAATGCCTTGCAATTGACACTTGGTCCTTGGCTTTGAAGCACAAAGGAGCTTGCTGAGAGAAGCCAACGCTTCAGCCCAGCAGCAACAAGTCCTGAGAAGAAGCTTCCTTCTACCTCACCCCAGTGCTTGTTGGAGGAAGCCATTGGTCTGTGCTTTGCAGTAGCCACAGAACTCAATATTTCAGCCTCATAGGCATTGGAGTGGGCTTGCCCAAGCCGTTCCTTTGCCCAAAGGAATAGGGTCACAGTCTTGCTCTCCCAGTGGCTCAGCAAGACTTGTGCCACTTGCCTCTTGAAGGAAGTTTGGTAGCATTTGTGGGTGGCAACTTTGACCCAGCTGTGTTGTGTTCTCAATATGCCTTCGTACCCTTGTTCCTGCGCTATGGGTCTGCTTCCCAAAACTTCCTGTGCTCTTTTGTCTCCTTGGGACCTTGCATTCCTTTGTAAGACCCCCTGGGCTTTTCTGGTCCCCCCCCCCTCTTGCACAGCCAGTTCCTAGCGTTTCCCCTGTGTTCCAGGAATGTGTTACCCAGTAAAAATGAGGGCTGCTTCGTAGTGTTTTCTGCGATCTTGCACCCGTACAGTAAACCAAAGGGTGGGGACATGCAAAGAGTGCAGTGGCTCTCCGGGTTGCTGTCTGCTTCTTCTGCGACAGTTCAGGGTCCTTGCGTGCTTTGTCTCCCAAGGCAAGTTGATGAACTGGGCCCATTGGTGCTTCCCAGTTGCCCCTGGGTTTCTGCTTCTCCATGCATTTGCTTGCTGGGTTTGCTGCTTCCTTTCTCCCTCCTGCTTGGATCCCACTTCCTTTTTCCCTTGCCATTTCAGCAAGCTGCTTTCCTGGACTGTTCTGTCTCTTATCACAGCAAATACCTCATGAAGTAGGTTCCCTTCTTCCCTGTCCTTATGAACTCGCACTTGGTAACCTCGTTTGGGGTCAGTCTGCCTGTGTGGCACTTCAGGGTATCTTCACGAGCCCCAGATGTTCACTTCTTCATACCTCAGATATATACATACATATATAAATCAATATATGGGGTGGAGTAGGGGTTAAGACAGTAGGATCTGTTTCTCTTGCTTGCCTGCGTATAAGCCTACCTCTGCCTTCATCCTAAGATGTAGTTTGTGGTCTCTCTGGAGCCCCTTCTGCTTCAGCAGATACATAGCAAGTTTGTTTTCCTACTAGTTCCAGTTAGTTCCAGTTTGCTTTTAAGCTCTGGGTTTTTCTCCCATTGCCTTCCAGTGTTTAGATGCTTTCAGTGCAGGATTCCCCCTCCTGTCGCAAGGACAGGCTTTGTAGGCTTAGCTAGCCCTTCTCTAGCTGGAATTTTTCCATATCAGTTTAGTATTTTGCATTATACTTACCTCAACAACAGCATGTGAAAGTGAGTTCCACAAGCCATGCTTCTTGATCTGTTTTTAAGACGTTGCCTTTCTAATTTCAGCGAGTGCCTTGCGCTGGGTAAATAGGAGAGTGCCTGGGCTTCTCCTTATCATTCAGTATTTTTAAATACCTCAGTTGTGTTTCCTGTTCCTCTCTTTTTTCCAGAAATTGCTGCACAGTCTCTTATGCAATCCTCACCACATCCCTACCTCGACACTTGTGATAAATCTCCACACTTCTGCCTTCTTCAGACTTTTGAACGTAACTGATCCAAGATTTTCCCAGGTTGAGTTGCCTTTTTGTTGTGTGACTCTTCCAGTTTTTGGCAATTCCTGCCTTGTCTGTTGCCTGCTTTACTGCTTCCGGCCTTGAGTTTGGACAAAAGTCTGACTCGGGAGAATATTTCAGGCTCTAGCCCTTGTTCTTTTCAATATGTCTCCATGACTTGTGTTTCTTTGCTCTATTACCTAACAAAGATATAGGTAAGACCCCACCTAGTAATTCAGAGTCATCTTGGACCCCAAGCTTAGTATTCACATTTATACCAAAATATTTCTCTGCTAATAATTTGGGGCGGGGTAAGAACTTGAGTGAGAACCATCCACTGAAGCCATGTTCACACGTTACATATGTAAGATTTGCCATCATGTCCCCGTGTTCTTCAGCCAGGATGCATTTTGCAGGAGGAAAAAACAGAGCAGCTCAAACTGGGCTGAGGAGGAGAAATGTTGCAGAATCTTCTGTCCCACTACCAGGGCATTCTCTCTGAAGTTTTTTTTTTGGGGGGTGGGTGGTACTTCTTCCATCCCTCTTAGCTTTACTCAGGAGTGAAATTGTCTGAATCCGAAGGTAGCCTAGTGTCACAACTAGGCAGTGGGAAGGAAGCAACACTTAAGATAGGAATTAGCAGGTTCCTCCCCTTGGTGCCTAGCCCAGGGATAGTGCTACAGTAAAAGGAAAGGGTCCATCATTCTCACTGCTCATCAGTACACAGCTTTCAGGTTACCTTGAAAAGTTAGATGAGCTGATTATCTTACCTAGTAGTTGTTAATCCTTATCCCATTATTACACTTAATGACAGCTAGTTCTACAAACTTGTAGCCGGTGGAAATAAGGATATTTTCTTAGTGTTAAGCTACTGTAAGTGAATTTCATTGAGGCTCATATTATTTGGAAAGCTAAACAACTGGTCTGTATTCACCCTTTCCAACTGGCATGTGGGTTGGTTTGTGTTTTTTTTAAAAAATACTTCAGTTTCCTTCCTTTTGATCCTAAATGTGGCATGTTTATAGGGGACTTAAATTTCATGCGACTTGTTTCATAGTGTGATGCCCGTTGTGAAGTAGAATTGGGTCTTGGAGTTAAAGAGGTTTCATTCCTCCTCGCAGAGAGAATTCAGCTTTAACCAAGACCATTCCTTCATCTCCCCCCTCCCCTATTTTCCTAGAGCTTACAGATGGTTCAGGTCATGATGAGGTGATCTTGCCACAGCCATACTCTGTTAAATGCCGCTTGTATTCTTGTGTAGTCCAATCTGATATTTACCACCCTTTCATGAACCATTGAAGGCAAAAGGTTTTTCTTCCTTTATGGTGTGGCAGATGCCAGTTCATGCGGCACAGAGACTGGTAGGATCACCTGTTGAAGATTTCTACCATGTCAAAGGGGGGATTGGCTAAAATGGCTGCAGTTTGTTGGATCCTCTTGGCCATTTGATCAGCCTTGGTGTACCTTTTTAGCCTTCCTCTTGAAGAAGCTGGTACTTAGACCCTTCTTAGCTTTAGTGATGCCAGTGTTACAGCGCCTCAAAAATTTAGCTTTGTGGTTTCTTCCTGTACCAGTTAGCCACCTGTCTTATGCCGAATGCTACAACATCGCAGGTCTCTGTGTTGGACTCTTTCCTATTGACCAAGCTGTTTATTTCCCTTTTAGTTAGCAATAAGCCCAATGGCTTTATTTTACCAGCACTGACCTCTTCTCTGTAAATAGTAAACTCATCAAGGGGCAGGGAGGGTAGTACCGTCCCTTCCTTTCACTGGCACATCTTAAAACTCATAACCCATTTTATTTTCTGACTGACATTTTATTTTCTAACACACTCTTCTGTCCCAGAGCGCTTTGCTCTCCCGTCCTTTTGTGTTCAGATGATGCCTTTGCAAGTTCTTTTGTTTCTTGCCTTGTTTTGTGGGATTGACTGTCCCCAAGAAGAATGTGTCCTTCACAGCAGTGGAATTAAATTTTAGAATACCACTATTTCTAGACTTGCCCATTAGAAAGGGTGAAAGCGAAAAGTTGTGCAGCCTCCTGGGATTAAAAGGAAGAGGGAAAGTTAACATCTTTCGGATTAGTGTTAGGTAGGAATCTTTGCTTAAATAGTTATGCCAGATAAAATGAATGACTGCAAGTGCAAGCTCTGTGCAAAGAGTTACACCTACAGTGTGTTGTCTACATGTGCACTGCATGCTCCCCTCCCCTCTGCATTGGTGGTCCTAGCGGAAAGGTCCCCTAGACTGCCAGATCTTAACAAAAAATGGTATGCGAACAAAAAGTGGGAGTTTTGTGGCCGAGAGAGTGAGTACATATGTTGTTGAACCCTCTGTGATTCTGGCTTGGTTTGTGTCTTCCTGCATTTTTTGCAACAGCTGTTTCCTTGGGACATCTCAGAGTGCTTCCTCTCACCATCCACCCAAAGAAAGAAATGTTATGTGTCGTGTCAATGAACTAAGTATCTCTCCGCTGTTATCCATGGCTGTTTAAACTGACCCCCCCCCAAAAAAAAACTAGGTAGTCTGGAATGGCTGCCTTCGCCTTTCCAGTTTTAGTGTGTTCTCAGCCTCTAGCGAGCATCTCGTGAAAACTCTGGGTTTTTGCTTAGTCTTAATAACTAAGAGCTGTGGTTTGTTCTGTTTGTTTTTTAAAATGAATGCTTTGTAATGTGTTTTAACCAAGGTTTTACCCTACCTGCTAAACAGGATGCTTTTGCCTTAGAGCAGGCCGTGGGGCTATACCCCCCGCCACACACACACACACACACACACACACACACTCACACACACACACACTCACACTTTGTGATCTGCCACCTCAAGGCGCCGGCCATCACTCCCATGTACCTGCTGCTGCTTTCGATGGTGGCCATGTTCTCATAATTTCATTGTACTTCTGTGTGCATATAAAGGATGGTAAGGGAACAGGGCAACTGCTGTCACCCATGAGAAAAAGGGGGTGATGGAGGCATTGCAGGAAGGAAACAAGACTTAGTGGCCTGCACCTCCCCAGAGAGGAACTGAAGCCTGTGGGTGCCTGCACTTGGCATGGCACGTGCCCCGGGTCAGACAGCTGAGCTCTGGTTGCTCCTGCAAAAGCCTTAATAGCATACACTGTGACTCCGGTGTGCTTTGTACTGGGCAGGGTGGGGGGCAGGGAACATGGGCAGAGGACAACATAATCTGCCTGCAGTGGGGCACGATTCTTGCTTTGGAATTTGAGATTTGGGACAGTATTCCTAGTCATTTTTCACGGGAAAGTTTCCTGTTCCTCTGAACAGCACACGAACTGATGGCTTGAACTCACAGGTGGCCCCTCTGCCTGAGAGTGTCTGTCCCGTGACTGTGTTTTTGCTCTCCTGCTCAGGGCTGTGGTCTTAACAGCTGAACTTTCAAGGGCTCATTTGGGATTTCTCCGACCTTGCACCTTGCAAGAGGGAGCTGACCTCTTTGGCTCACCTGAGCCGTACCTGCCTCGTCTCCCAAGCCGGCCGGCCCGCCTGCCTGCCCTCCGCAAGAGCCACCAAGGCCCTCTAGGCCTGAAGCTGGGACTTCTCAAACAAATCTAGCACTTTTTCTAAATACAGCAAATAACCTCCTCTGATGAAAAGTATTGTAGGACTTCTTACAAGTCCAGGTTTTTAAAACTAAAGATTGAAGTGCCATTAGGAAGTGTACAGTTCATCATTGTTCAGTTAGCTTTTCTTTTGTCTTACAGAATTAAGTCCAAAATGAAAGAGTGTGTGTTTTGTTTTTTTAAAAATGAAAATGCTTATTAAAAATGTTTGAAGTATAAGCTATGCTGTTTGTTTGTGGGAGTGGGAACACCTATGAACAACGCAGGTTGTATATACTCAGGATCCATATTCTATATCATCCTGCTGGAGCCTCTGGCTCTTCCCTAGAAACCTATCCCAGGGGTGTAGCATGGGTTGCCGCTGCCCGGGGTGAGGCAACTGTTGCACGTTAGTCCCTTCACTAGCCAGCATCCATGGGGGGGCGTCCTGTTGTCCGGGCAGCCCAGGACCTCCATACACTGTCCAGGCTCGCACCCTGGGGACGTCACTTCATTGCTGCTAACACAACAAAAATAATGTGGGAGGTAGCAGGTCCAAGTTACCATTTTCGGCTGCCACAGCAGGTGCTGTGATTCTCCAGCGGTTTGACTCCCCCCCCCGAGGTGTACTCTTATTTCTCTTGAAAGAGATGGATGCCAGCCACAACAAGCTGAGTGTGTGCTACTATGAAACAAAACACCTGCAAATGGAATAGTGGTTCCTAGATAGACTTCTATGTAGAGTGAACATATTTAGTGGGCTTAAGAAGCCTTTGTGAATTGTTAGCTGGAAAAGTATAAGACTGGGGGGGGGGATTGATTGAACAAGAGTGGAGGAAGTAACTTTGCTGCTTCAACCCTGAACAAACGAGTGCTTAGAGGGGTTGGGACATACAGCAACATTTTGTTTTTGGTCCTACTTGTTTATATTTAAATGCCAGTGACATGGAATATAACAGACTAATAAAATTACTGTTGATAAGACTTCTCTCCCTTGCAAAGAATAAGAGATCTTCCCCAAGTCTTGATCTTTTTTGGGGCTTTGAAATACCACCTTGAATGACATAAGACCTTTTCAAGTTTGTGGCAGGGTCAAACTTATTCCATACATTTAAAGGCAATATTTTAGAAACTAAATGGTAAACCCAACACTCCATATATGGTTTCAGTGAGACAGGGACTACTCAGAACCTCATCCCTTCAAGGATAGAAGCAGTAGGGACTCCGGTGGGAAGGAGACCCACCCAACCCGGAAATGGAATGAAGCCATCAGGTAGCTTCTAGAATGGCTGTCCTGCAGGGAGAAGATGGGCATTCTTCCTCTTGCCAGCTCAGACGTCCATGGCAAAGTTTCCCTTCTCACAGAACATAGTTTTTGGCAAATGATGTGATCAGAATGATTAACAGCGGAGCAAATGCAAGTTATGTCACCTGCAACTTGGAAACCTAAGACAGCTCACCCATGGCTAAAGTTGCACAATCAAAGACACAATGACAACAACAGCATATTTATTTACAGTTGGGCTCAAACAATACATTAAAAAATACAAGAAACATAGTGGAAGGCCAGGGATAGAGCAGATCTGGTTGGAAAAAGAAAATAATGGAGGGGGAGAAAGGACTTGGGGAATAAATCAACATTGCACTCTTCTGATCATTATGTCAGCGCAAGACTTCCTACTTCCCACACGGAACAATCCACCCTCCTCCCTGCCCTGCTGTTCTGGGGTTTCTCCCAATTCATCAGAATGAATTGCAAGGGCGCATTGGGTGGTGGAGCCTGTTGCACTAGCTGGAACTCTTCCACACCTCTGCTTCTGCTAGTGTGCAGAATTAGTAGACTCCAGGCCCTAGTCAAGTACCCTAATGGTAGCTCAGATCAGAGTTCACCAAGGGATCCATAGCAAAAGTAGTAAGTGCCATGGCTCCCCCTTTGTCAGACCTTGATTCGTGGCTGGCGTGGCTTTGGCGTGGGGGGCAAGGAAGCAATGGGTGGGCAGAGGAGCAATGCCCAAGCAAGCCCCTCATTCCCTGTGAGCCTGCAGGCTAGTCTGCAGGCTCACCCCAGTAGTTTCCTGCAGTTACCACAGGGCAGGTAAATTAAGACACACATAAGAGGCATCATCATTGATGACAAATGCATGTTTAACGATCTTAAATATGTGTTCCCAAAGAGATTAATTTTCCATGGAAAAAATGCCCCCCCCCAGTGCATGCCTCCCTACCCCACCCATGGCATACCCACTTTTGCCGGAACAGCGCGTCCATAAAGCAGAAAACTGCAACTAGACCATTCCACAATTAGACCTAATTTTCAGCAATTGAAAAAAATAATAATCCAGTATTGTAATTCTGATTACAAATAAGCAAGTTTCTGTTTATCAAAGGAAGTGTTTACAACCATCTCCCAGTAAATTGATTCAGGCTCATTTGCGATGCGCAGCGCACTACGAGCGGGAGAGAGAGCGGGAGAGAGAGCGGGGTGCTCCTGTCTCTGAGAAGGGAGACTGAGATCCATTGTGCTTGGCTAAAATATAATTTGATAGTATAACCTTGGTCTTGTGACTACGTAACCTAGTTCACATAGAAGTCGAGAGTAAAGCTGCCAACGCACTTCAATTTCTGGAGGGAGAGACAGAACTGGACAAGTGAGTAAAGGGGGGTGGCCAAATGTGCAGGGGTGTGGGTAGGAAGGGAGAACAATTCCTTTCTTTTGACATTGGGGTCAGGGGAACAGAGCTCTCCCAGTTCCCTCCCCTCTCTTGCACATTACAGCAGCAGTTCCCAACATCTGAGCCATGGATTCCTTGGCACATGAACAACAGAGCACGTTTTCCAGTCTCTAAACCTCACCCAAATCCCAGTGTTGAGAAATCCCCTGGGGTTACCCCAGGACTTCCAAGTAGCCTTCCTCCAGTTTGCAGGCCCGTTCCATTTTTCAGCAGGCAGTGGTTCCACATCATCAGTTTATCGTGGTTCAAAGCAAGTGAGCGTCCTAAGACAATAGGTGTCTGCCACTGTCTGCACTGTGAAACTCCCAGCATCAAGAAGCCCAGGGGAAGCAGTCTGAGAGCCCTCCGTGAGAGAACTGCACTTGCCGGAACTGGAGCATGATGAGGCGGCAGCAGACCTTCTTTCTACCGTCTCGCTCCAAGCAAAGGCACAGCAAAAGGCTACGCTGTGCCATCACCAAAGGATGAATCTTCCCCAAACTCATTCGTGAATTTGTAACCATTGCAATCTCCTATTATTGTCATTAGAGAAAATGAATTAGACGAAAAGGGAGGAGGGAGAAAGATTACTCATTGAGGGGAATGCGTCTCGGCTAAAAAAGAAGAGAGAAAATAAATCCCTTATAACCAGAATAGGATAAAAGTTAAAATGCAAAGTATCTACACACCCTCCCCACCAAGAAACCCGATTCCACGGACACTGTGCCAAAGGTTACATTCCAAAAAATTGAACTATTTTTATTCCTTGTTTCCCTCACTCCAGCCGGGTTTTGTTTCCTTGGGAGAAACAGGAGAGAGGGGGAGAGAGAGAGAGTTCCCCACTTCCTTCCTAGGAGGAAACAGAGGGGACCAGCTGCTTTGTGCCACCTGGCGCCAGAGCATCTTCAGTCTATTTTCACAGCAGCGTAAATCTTGCGGACAAACATGTAGGCTGCATAGAAGCCAATGGTCCCCGTCAAGAGCCAGAAGGACAGCACCATGAGAGCTGTGTAGCCGAAGTACAGCAAGGAAGGAATGAACTCGACAATGTCCAGCTGCAAGAGAGAACCAGAAGGAGGTCAGGGCAGAGGAAGCGTGTGCCAAAGCCTCTGCAGTAGCCCTCCTAACCCAAGGAAAAGCAGGGTGGGAACCTCGCTTGGCCTCCCACCTCAACCATGTTGTGTATCATGGAACATCCACCAGGGCCAGAGCCTTCTCAGTGATGGCTCCGACCTGGTGGAATGCTCTGTCCCATGAGACTAGGGCCCTTCAGGATTTAATCTCCTTCCGTTGGGCCTGTAAGACAGAGCTATTCCACCTGGCTTTCAATTTGAACTTAGCCTGATCTTTTATTTCCCTTCCTTCCCTCCCCCTCCCCTTGTATGAAGATCACCTGCTCTGATACCTCACAGCCAATTCTCCCCTGGCCTCTTTGCTGGTCCAAGTAGGACCAATTCAGCCAGCTAGCCCTGGGGATTATCTAATTGATTTTTGAATTTTATTGCCATTCATGTTTTTATACTGTACAGTGGTGCCTCGCAAGACGAAATTAATCCGTTCCGCGAGTCTCTTCGTCTTGCGGTTTTTTCGTCTTGGGAAGCAGGGCTATTAGCGGCTTAGCGGCTATTAACGGCTTAGCGGCTTTAAGAAAAAGGAAACAAACTCGCAAGAACTCGTTTCGTCTTGCGAAGCAAGCCCATAGGGAAATTCGTCTTGCGGAACGACTCAAAAAACAGAAAACCCTTTCGTCTAGCGAGTTTTTCGTCTTGCGAGGCATTCGTCTTGCGGGGCACCACTGTATTTTATGCTGTCTTTATAATTAAGTGTTTTAAATTTGTTGTTAGCTGCCCTGAGCCCAGTTTTTGAACCGGGAAGGGCGGGGTATAAATTTTTTTAAAAAATATTTATTTATCTCCCACCTGAAGTGCTCAAGAGCAGCAAGTTTTGCCACTCGACAGCCTCCCTGACCAGATATCGCAGCCTAATAAATAGTTACTGAGTGTAGGATTCAGATCTGGTGAAAATAGCAGCAGTACCTTATTCACAAAGTAGAAGACTGCGTAAATCAACACATAGAAGGCAGAACCTCCGGACACTAGGAAAGTCCTCCACCACCATCGGTAATCCTGCCAAACGAAGGAAAGACATACAGCATCATTCTGCCAGCACTCTCAACAACCCTCGCAGGTGCCCAGTCGTGTTTGGGCATCCACTGTTTTGCCCACACAATCTCTGCGAGTGGCATGTTGTGACCTAGAGAATGCAGGTTTGAGATCTTCAGGTGTGGTGGGCAGTGGATCTGCAGCCCAGGACAGGGGGAGAGCCAGGTTGCTTTCATCCCTGCGGTTCTCTTCAAACTAGGCAAGACTGCAAGCTGAAGCCAGACTCTCCAGACACGTGAAAGTGTAAATTCTTCCTCGCAGAAACACAAGCCCAAAACCCTCCTTGCACACAGAAAATTAGCATGCCAGGGAAAAGCCGACTTTCCTCCAGGATATGCTGGCTTTCTTGTGCAGTTCTGGAAAAGCA